TATCATGAGTGACCATGTTGGAATTAAACTCTGTGGACTTCTCTGAGATCCGAGTGAGGCTGACACTCCCACCCCATCCCGCCACCTCCTCCCATCCCAGAAGCTCCAGTGGTGAGGCTCTGCGTGTTGTGTGTATATATTCTTGCATAGAGCTCTGCATCTCTGTGTACATGAAGTGCAGAAGGAGTCGTTTTGAGCAGTAAATAATCCCCCGAGAGAAAAACTTGTGTATTTTTTAATTAAGGAGGTATTTTCTTTGGCTGGCATTGTATTTTTTAGTTCTTGTTTGGTTGCAAGTTATAGGAACTCAGTTCAGACTGCCTTAGGCAAAAAAGAAAAAGAGGAAGGGGCAGAGGAATATTTGGCTCATGTAACTGAGAAGTCCAGGTGGTGATGCTTGCTTCAGGTCAGGCTGTGTCCAGGTATGTAGACAGTCACTATGAATTGGTTTCCACCTTTTGGCCCTCCTTCCTTCTCTATTGGCTGCTTCCCCAAGGGGGACGGGGATGGCCAGCAGCAGCTCCAGGCTTATGTCCTGCCAGCTTAGGCATCCTGCAGAAGGAGCACTCTTTCAGGAATTCCAGCAAAATTCCCAAGGTAGGGCTCTCATTGTCCCAACCGGAATCTTGTTTCTTTCTCACACCAGCATGGAATGCAACATGGAATGCTGCAGAGCTGTGATTGGGTAGGCCTAGGTCACATGCCTACCTCCAGATCCAGGAATGTCAGCCCACCAACCACATGGACCAAGTAGAGGGAGGGGCTGGTTCCCACGGGTCAGCATGGGTGCAGTTGAAAGAAGCTGGTCAGGCCAGCCAACAAACATCTGTTAGAGGCATACAGTCTGCACTATGGAAATTTATGCGTTCGAACTGTGGTGCTGACAAAGAATATTAAATATATCGTTGACTGCCAGAAGAATGAATAAATCGGCCTTAGAAGAAATATAACCAGAATGTTCCTTAGAAGTAAGGATGGCAAGACTTTGGCTTGCTTGCTTTGAACATGTCTTCAGAGAAGACCAATCAGTACTGAAGGCCACCAAGTTAGGTAAAGTGGAGGGTCGGTGAAAGTGAGGGAAACCCTCCATGAGACGGATTGACACAACAGTCGTAACAATGGACTGGAGCATGCCAACGGTCAAGAAGATGACGCACGACCGGGCAGCGTTTCATTCTGTTGTACATGGGGCCACCGTGAGTTAGAGCCAACTCGACCACAGCTAATAATAACAGCAAGGGGAAAGAAAACAGAAAACCAGGTAGGATCTGAGGAAAGATTTCCTCCTGAGGAAAGGATTCAGGAAATTAAGAAAAGCTTCATAAGTGTCAGGGACTCAGAGGACTGGTATAGACCAAGCGATTAGTGCCTTTTTGATGAGCCAAAGGAGTTTCCTCATTTATTCCTTCAGTTGGACGAGGGAGGTCATGGCGGCTTAGACTCTGCAGAAGTGGCAGAGGTGATGGGGGTGGTCAGATGTGGGGGTTATTCTGAGAGGAGAGCTGGCAAGTTTTGCTGATAGACTGAAGGTGAGAGGGGAAATGAAATAAATAAAGGTGGCTTCTGGATTTTTTGGCCTAGGCACAGTGAGTGAATGATGATTTATTGGAAATGCAAAAGGCTGAGGGCGAGTTAACTAAATGCCCTAAAGTATATTGAGCATAGGATAAAAAGGAATAGGAGGAAGAAGACAAACAAGAATTCCGGTCTTGGAGGAGTGAATCAGCAAGACTGCTCAAAGGAAGTAAAACAGAGGAGATGATGATAAGTGTGAGGGTGAGGGCGTCCCTGGGTGGCACAACCAGTTAACGTGCTCAGCTGCTGAAGAAAGGCCAGGCAATCTCCTTCTGAAAAATCAACCATTGAAAACCCTGTGAGGCGCAGTTCTACTCTGACACACAGGGGGTTACCACAAGTTGGAATTGGCTAATGACAACTGGCTTGGTTTTGTTTTGTTTTTGTTTTAATGTGGCTGGAAGAGCAGGAAGGCAGTGGACAAGGATGGAAAGTGGGTGAGCTAGGTCTGATAGAGTGGGGTAAGTGGTAGCAAAATCAGGCCAAAGGGGAAGCACAAGAGAGAGGGAGGTTGAATCTAAATTGCTGCCTCCCTCTCCAAATCCCGAGAAAGGTCCTTTCTCCCAGTGCTATCTGCACACGCATGCACATATACTTGCATGCACACATATGTGTAAATAGTACATAATAGTGTTTTTTAAAAGCTGTAGAAGGAAATGGAGCCCTGGTGGCATAGTGGTTAAGAGCTCAGGCTGCTACCCAACAGATTGGCGGTTCGAATCCACCAGCTGCTCCTTGGAAACCCTATGGGGCAGTTCTACTCTGTCCTATAGGGTCACTATGAGTTGGAATTGACGTGACCGCAACAGATAGAGGGAAGCATTGACATATTTGAGCATATTAAAGTTTAAAACTACAGTATAATGAAGGATACTGTAAATAAGTTGAAAAGTAAGTAAGAGACTGGAAAATATAACTTATATAACAAATAAATGTCTGGAATATACGAAGAGCTCTTACATTAAGAAGAAAATGGGAAAGAGTTTAATTAAGCAATTCACAAAGAAATGCACGTGATCCTTATGAAAATACTCTCAGTGTCTGGCAAAACTTTAAATGATTGAGACTTCAGGGTTGGCAGGGTGTGGGGCATGGAGAAAGAGTTGCTCTCTACACTGTTGGTTGGGAGTGTAAATTAGTGGAAGCTTTGGAGGACAATTTGTGTCTAGCAATGTTCTGGGGCAGTGGTGGATCCATGGTAGAATTCTCTCCTTCCATGCGGGACACCCGGGTTCAATTACTGGCCAGTGCACCTCAAGTACAATCACCACCCATCTGTCATTGGAAGCTTGTGTGTTGCTATGATGCTAAACACGTTTCAGCAAAGTTTCCAGAGTAAGACAGACTAGCAAGAAAGGCCTGGTGACCTACTTCCAAAAATCAGCCAGTGAAAACACTATGGATCACAGTGATTCCATCTACAACTTATCATGGGAATGGCACAGCACCAGGCAGGATTTCATTCCATTGTGCATGGGGTGGCCATGAGTCAGGGGCCAACTTGACAACAGCTAACAACAGCAATATTCAAAGTGAATATACTCTTACTCCAGCAAAACTAATTCTGTGCATCTGTTGTCTCAAGATACTGGTACATGTGTAGAAAGGAACAAGTAGAAGAAGAATGTTTATTGTAACACATTTAGCTATTTTAACAGCTAGAACTTGGAAGCAATATGAATGTTCATTAGTAGGAGGATGGTTAAATGCATTATGGTACGTCTTTGCCCATTAATATGGTGTAGCATTTTTAAAAGATCAATAAATAGATATGAAAAACATCTCAAAAAAACAAACAACAACCAAAAAAAAAAAAAAAGGTGGTTAAGTAAAAAGAAATTGCAGAGTTTGATTAATTTATTTAACTAATTAGCTATATTTGTATATAAGGAGCCCTGGTGGCTCAGTAGTAAAGCACTTGGCTGCTAACCAAAAGGTTGCTGGTTTGAACTCGCCAGCCACTCGTCGGAAGAAAGATGTGACAGTCTGCTTCTGTAAAGATTACAACCTAGGAAACCTTATGGGGCAATTCTACTCTGTCACACTGGGTCACTATGTGTCGGAATCAACTCAATAACACCCAGCAATAACAACATATATTTATAAATACATAGAGAAAGATCTGGAAGAATGAAGACCGAATTGTTAGCAGCAGTTACCTCTGGAACGAAGAGTGAGGTGGCAGGGTTGGGGGAAGTGGGGCATTCATGTTCTGCATCTACTTGAACAACCACCAAGCTTTATTTCTGAAGTGACAGAACAGTACGCTGGAGTGTAAGCAGGTCTAAAATTTAAAATAAAAAACAACTATTGCCATGGAGTCAATTTGACTCATAGTGACCCTACAGGACAGAGCAGAACTGCCCCATAGGGTTTCCAAGGAGCGACTGGTGGATTCGAACTGCCGACCTTCTGGTTAGCATCTGAGCTATGTATGTTGTTGCTGTGTGCCATCAAGTTGATTCTGACTCATAGCCACCTCATGTGACAGAACAGGACTTCCCCGTAAAGTTTCCTAGGCTGTAATCTTTACGGGAGCAGATTGCCAGGTCTTTCTCCTGCAGAGCTGCTGAATGGGTTTGAACCACCAGCCTTTCAGTTAGCAGCCAAGTACTCAACCATTGTGCTATCGGGGCTCCTTCTAGGTGCGTGTAGGTCCGTGTTATTTCTCTAGTGTTCCACTGTTCCTTGCCTTTCTGCCTAAGGCAATACGAAGGTGAGAGTCTGTGCCAACCCTACGAAGGAGGAAATAGCACTGCCCTCCACGTGTCCCTGCCTGTGATTTGAGGAGCATCACCACCCATTCTATCACCCACACTCTGGCTATCCCAGGAGCCCTGGTAGTACAACAGCTATGCGCTCAGCAGTTCGGACCCACGGGGTTGCTGTGAGTCAGAACCGACTCGAAGGCACCCGACAACAACAAAACCCAGCTCTCCCGTTCAGCTTCAGCCAGCTCCAACAGCAGGGTCCGGGAAGGCTCAGCTGCAGCCGGGAAAGCTAACAGCTCTCTGGGTCATCTCTGTGGACAGTTGCATGGAAATCAATTAGAGTCAGACTCTGTGCCCTGTGGAGCGGCTTTCAACGAATCTGAAGTCATTAGCGGTTATGTTCAGCTACAGCTTCCTTCCTTCCGAAAGGCCTGTGGTGGCAGTGACCTCCAGGGAGGAAGACCTTTGTTGTCAAGTCGGAGACAGCAGTGTACTTATTCCTCCGGTCACTCAAAACTAAAACTCTTTTGCTGTAGACAAGTGTGTCCTTCCTCAGGTACAGGGGGTGGTGACCATAGCAACAGATCACCCCAATATTATCTTTTTGTCCTGTTTGCCTTTTTTAAGTTGCCCTTGCTTATGTTACTGTGTCCATTTTAGCTAACTTACTTTATTTTCTTTTTATTTCTTCTTTTCTTTTTTAACTGTATACAGGGACAAAGAAAGAAGCACAAAAAGATCAAGATGCTCATAAACCTGCTGTTTCATCTCCTAAGAGGGTCGCAGCTTCAACCACCAAGCTCCATTCACCAGGTATTTAAGCAATGTGAGCTCTGTTATTGGGGGGGAAGACTTGAACTTAGCATTTACTGTATTCAGATGTCATTAACGGAGCAACGCTAGCAGCTAGAATGCATGGTTGTTTCTGTGCTTGACATACATAGGCCGAGGTTTTCTGACTCTAGATTAAATTCACGAATGCTTGGCATAGTTTTACCTTAAAAAAGATGTTAATATGCTGTGTTTAAATGGGAGAATCTTGTTTGTGCTGGAGTTGTTGCTGTTTGGTGCTGTGGACTTGATTTTTGACTAATGGCAGCCTCATGTGTCATGGATTGAATTGTGTCCCCCAAAAAATGTGTGTAGCAACTTGGCTAGGTCATGATTCCCAGGATTGTATGATCGTGTTATCTGATGTGATTTACTTATGTGTTGTAAACTCTATCACTATGATGAGGTTATATGTGATCTCCTCACGTGTTGTAAATTCTATCACTGTGATGAGGTTATGCTGACGTGGTTTACAAAATTAGATAGTGTCTTAATCCAGTCTCTTTTGAGATATAAAAGAGAGAAGTGAGCAGATACACATGGGAACCTCAAACCACCAAGAAAGCAGTGCCAGGAGCAGAGCGCGTCCTTTGGACCTGAGGTTCCTGCGCAGAGAAGCTCCCAGACCAAAGAAAGACTGATGACACGGACCTTCCTCCAGAGCCGACAGGGAAAGCGTTCTCCTGGAGCTGACGCCCTCAATTTGGACTTGTAGCCTACTGGACTGTTAGAGAATCAACTTCTCTTTGTTAAACCCATCCGCTTGTGGTATTTCTGTTGGAGCAGCACGAGATGACTAAGACACCATGTGACAGAGCAGAGCTGTAATAGCAGGAGGCTGTAATCTTTATGGGAGCAGATTTCCAGGTCTTTCACCCGCAGAGCCGATGGTTGGGTTCAAACTGCCGACCTCTTGGTTCGCAGCCAAGCTCTTAACCATTGCATTACCAGGGCTCTTTTGTGTTGGAGTATCTCTGTGCTATTTCAACAGCGTGTAGAAGCAGTTTGTAATTGAAAAATGGACTTTGAATATCTAACATTGAGAGATGTTTTCTAAAAGGATAAAAAAGAAAAACAGTGGATATCAAAGTTTGTTACTTTGTCAATGAGGAAGGCATTTATTCACATTAAGATATGAATAAGGTAAGTAATGTCACTTGGAAGTTGAAAATCCTTTATTATGAATAGCCATATTGTTAAGACTTTAACCCCAACATAGGACAATATGCAAAATAACCTCAAAAGGTTTTCTTCAGGCATAAAAATAGTAGCAACAATAGTGGTTAATGTTTGAGGTCTTACTCTCTGCTAGGCACTGTCCTAAGTTCCTTAAATGTATGAGCTTATTGAATGCCCACAATAACTCTGTGACATGGGTACATGTGAGGAAACTGAGGCACAGATATTTTCATTGATTTTCCCAAAGTCACGGGTCTAAGTATTAGCGCCTTGATTTGAATCCAGCCAATCCGAATCCCAACCCTGCCTTCTTAGCCGCTACACTATGAACCAAGGAGCCCTGGTAGTGCAACGGTTAAGTGCTCAGCTTCGAACCGAAACGTTGACAGTTTGAACCCACCAGCCGCTCCACAGGAGAAAAAACTTGGCAATCTGCTCCCGTAAAGATTACAGCCTAGGAAACCCTATGGGGCAGTTCTACTCTGTCACATGGGGTTGCTATGTTGGAATCAGCTCGACAACACACACACAACAGCACTATGAACCAGAAAGCTTGGAGAATAGACAAATTAGCAAAATTTCTGGTTAATTAAAAATGTCTGGGAAAGAGGCGGAAGCCATGCATGTGAGGGTCAGGAGACAAAGCCTGGTGCCTGAATAGGGTGCGAGGTCAGATCAGAGGACACAGCCTAAATCTGGATCTTCTAAAAGGGTACACCCTTGCTGGATGAAATAGGAAGAAAAAGAAGACACGCCCTGTAGAAGGAGACTTGCCTGTTGCCGACTCTGGCTTTGAGAGAAGGGGAAAAGCATGCCCTTAGGAATTCCTAGGAGCCTGGTGGTGCAGTGGTTAAACGCTTGGCTGCTAATCGAAAGGTCGGGAGTTCAAACCCACCAGTGGCTCTGCAGGAGAAAGATGTAGCAGTCCGCTTCCATAAGGATTTATGCAAACAGTTAACATGCTCTGCCGCTAACGGAAGGTTTGGAGGTTTGAGTCCACCCAGAGGCGCCCTGGAAGAAAGCCCTAGTGATCTACTTCTGAAAAATCAGCCATTGAAAACCCTGTCAAAGTCCACAAGAAACTCAGTACCTGAGCTCCTTGTGTGTACCTGCTGGGTGCCAGTCTGCAAGAAGCAGAGTTCCTTCCTGCTGTGATGCAGATCAAACTCATTAAGTGCTTTTTATTCAACTGCGAAGCTATCAAAGTTGTGTCACATAATTTTGTCCTTCTTGTTTACAGGTGTGAAGGTCACAGGCCTTCCCTGATGTTATAAACACTCAGGTTCCAATGCTGCCCTGTTTGTTTCTGTATCAGTTACGCTTTCTAGCTTGAAAATTAAACCAAGCCTTTCCAGTCATTAGAATTCTCGAGATAGTGGCTGCATGGCTGCAGATGAATTTATTATATTCTCTTCCATTTTCAAGGGCTGCATTCTCCCTGATGCTCAGCCTTTGCATGCAAATTATTTTCATATGCCTTTGTGGTAATGTCAGGTTGCGGGCATTCTCCTGGGGGCCTTAGAGTAGCCAGTTACCACTGGGATCATCGTAGACTCCATCTGCCTTAGGCTAGAGTTATGCAGCCAGGAGGATGGACGAAAAAAAATGGTAACTGGGACAAGGTTTAGACAGGAGGAGGATATTCTAGATTTTGAGTACCCGCCCAAACCTGTGCAACCTGGGAGGGATGTCGGATTCAGCAGTGTGCCGAAGTGGGGGAGAGCCCTGGGTGGGAGTCAGAAGACCTGAACTCCAGACCAGGCTCCGCCAACTTGACAGTGGATTGCCTAAGCACAGGGAGGCCCTTTCTTCTCACTGCGCCTTATTCAAGGAGCCCTGGTGGTGCAAAGGGTTAAGCACTCAGCTACTATCTGAAAGGTTGGTGGTTCGAACCCACCCAGCATCTCTGCAGAATAAAAGACCTGGCCTTCTGCTCCCATAAAGATTACAGCTTAGGAAACCCTATGGGGCAGTTCTACTTTGTCACATGGAGTCACTGTGAGTTGAATCGACTGAGCGGCACCCAACAACAGTGACTACTCCTCTTCATCCACAGAGTAGGCGGATGAATGTTGTCAAATATTTTGGTGCCCCCCCAAAACATATGACATGAAGGGTACATATGAAATCAGCTCTGTCTGTAGGTCATGGCAAGACATTGATCTAGGTATTTCTGCTGATATATTTCACGTAGAAGAGGAGCATTGGGGATAAGATGCATTCACAGTTGACGAGTTTACAAGGGCTAGTCAGTAAAAAACTGGTATTTCTTTTCTTTCAGTCACTGCATTTAAAGATTCTAAAACCATCGATAAGTCCTGTTTTGAAGATCTTTATTGACTAGTATCAGAGTGCCCAGGTGGCACAAATGGTTAAACACTAGGCTGCTAACCAAAAGAATCCATCCAGAGGTGCCTCAGCAGAAAGACCTGGCAATCTGCTTCTGAAAAATCAGTGCAGTTCTACGCTGACACACGTGGGGTCGCCATGAGTCGAAGTCAGCTCGGCAGCAACTGGCTTATTTACTAATTTCAGTTTCCTAGTTCAGCTGTGTGAGAATTAGAAAGATATGGTAGGAGGCTAGAGCTTTGCTTCTCTGTAAAGAGACCACACACTGATAAGTAGGCTCTACCTAGCTGCTGAGTGAAGTCAAAGCCGGCCTGCTTTGAAATTGCTATGAAACTACCCCAAAAGCAATATAACTATCTCAAGGAACAGGGAAGGAGGTGATAAAAAATATTCTAGCACCTGGAGGGGTCCTCTGGGGACATGACATACCCCTTACTTGAAGCATGCATGGTGACCCTTCCAGAGAAGTGTGGGCCTAGCAGGTCAGAAATGAGTCCCACCGTCATGTCTCACCTCAGCGCCACTGTCTGCTCGAGGAACTTGTTGTTCACATGTGATCCCTGCCCACCAGAAGATTTCCATCTGATAGTCTCATGAGCTCTGTCTTACTTATCTAGTGCTGCTATAACAGAAATATCACAAGTGAGTAGCTTTAACAAACAAAGTTATTTTCTCACAGTTTAGGAGGCTAGAAGTCTGAATTCAGGCTGCCAGCTTTAGGGGAAGGCTTTCTCTCACTGTTGGCTCTGGAGGAAGGTCCTTGTCTCTTCTGAGTTTCTGCTTCTGGGCCATCTTCATGTGGCTTGGCATCTCTCTTCCCCGTCTCTGCTCTGCTCGTTTAATCTCTTTTATATCTCAAAAGACACACCCTACACTAATCCTGCCTCACAGTGGCAGTATCACCCTGTCACCCACTGCAATATCTCATAGTGTCACCTCCCCCCCATGGACCTCCTCCCATACCAGACCATACAGAATCCTTAGTAATGTTTTTGTACTAATGTTACTTGTAAATCGTAATTCCCGTCTATCACTGAATGTAATGACAAAATTAAAATTACACCTTTAAATTATAATATCATACGCATAGCCTAAAGGTATTTACATTTACATAGTTTCATGTGGTTAAAGTGAAAATTTGGTAAGAAAATGATAGAATTCAAAGTAAAAATGTTTAAGAACTACATCAAAACTATGTTCATTTTAACGTTAAACTTTACGTTACATGAGATACATTCTTGGATTAGGTTTGCATAATCAATAACAGCCCAATAATGTAGGAGTTGTAGACAAATGCATATGGAAATATATTCATAAATGAAATAATACCATAAAAATAAACAGGAACAAATACATAAGTGTCATGGATTGAATTATGTCCCCCAAAAAAATGTGTGTATCAATTTGGCCGGGCCATGATTACTGGTACTGTGTGGTTTTCCTATATGTTGTAA